TGTCTGCACTGCCAGTGTGATGCCTTGCTTTTCTTTATTATAGTGATTTGCCTGTTAACATGTTCCACAACTCTCTTCCCACCCTTTCCCAAGCCCTACCGGATCTTCAATACCTGGCTTGGAGATCCATCCAAGAACCTTATGCTTGCTGAAGTCATCAAGGTTATTAAAACAGAAGACCTTCTAAACAATGCAACCCACGCCGGGAAAGCACTGCTGACTGGGCTGCTGGATTTGCAGGTAAACATCTGGAAGGATTGTAAATAAGAAAAGTAAATTTGCTGATGGGGCAGGATCTGACCTCATCCAGTTTAAACACCTGGACTGAGGAACTCCAGCTGGGGACTAAACCATAATCACAGCTTGCTGGTTTAGGTACTTAAATGCAAGTTGAATAACTGTGTGCGTTTTGGGTTGAAGTAAACTTTCTTTTACTGACTTAAGAATGTTCGGTTTATACAGCTTAATCCAAAATAGAGGGTGACCCCCCAAATATCTGAGTGTATGAACTGCAGTTAGTTAAATTACTTTGTTAGAAGGTTTTGTTACCACAAGCACCTGTATTTCATCATCCCAAAGTTCTTTTTAAAGGAGGGTGGTTTCAGATTTTTTTCCAATTCTGCTGGGCTATTTAAACAAGAAAATTGCAGCTTTCCCTCCCTTGACTAAGGGAAATTCCTCACAGCTTCTACCATGGAGCCCCATAGGAGATGGAAAGTCAGACAGGCATTTAAGGGTAGGCTTGGAGGTGCTCTCCTCCCCAAAGGCATTTTGCACAGCACAATCCCAAACACAGTCTCTGCTGTGTGAGCAATCCAGCCCCTGCACTCACTCCACTCCAGCAGAACCAGGAGGCAGCAGGGTTTCCACCTGGCAGAGCTGAGCTTGCCACCAGGTGCCCTCTGTTCCAGCACCTGCCATGGGCACGTCTCACCTCTCTTTGCAGGCTCGTTACCCCCATCTCATCAGCAGAGTGAGAGGAAGAGGAACATTCTGTTCGTTTGACACTCCAAATGATGCAACTAGGAACAAGTTAATTACAATAGCCAGAAACAAAGGTAAGAGAGTTTGTGTAGCATAGGTAATGCTCCTGAATTTTCCTTTTTCGGATGGTGTATGTGTACTACAGCATCAGAGGAGAGAAGGGAAATGACAAACAAAACCGTATTTAGAGTTTTCTGGAAATACTTGTGTTTTCAGAGACTTCAGAGCAGTACATTGCATGGTGTGTATATTTACCAGGCTCTATAGGTCTGGTGTTACTGGAAGAGATCTATGTAGGGCAGGAGTTTTTGTGACATCAGTCATATAGCCCTCTGCAGTGACCTCAGGTGTCCCTGGGCATGGCTTCCAGCTGCAGACAGGCCCTGGAGGGGATCCTCAGGATCCACACCTAACTTTCTCTGATTTTAACTGTGTGTGGGCCCTGGATTTGCTGCTGTCCATTTTTTCTGTTACTCTTATCTCTTGAAATGCATGATGCATCTAAACTGTGGTGAAACTAACATTTCAGAGCGAAAAATACACCATTTTTTGTTCTTTGAAACTAAGGCAGCAGGGAGAGAAGGCAAGCAGTTTGCTTCATGGTAAACCAAGGCTCTGCTTCGAGGCAGGGTAAGCCCAGCTCAGTGGCTGAGTTCTCATCTCAAATAGCTGACTTGGGGTTAAAAAAATTGCCATGTATTTAAAGTACTGAAGGAAGAGGTTTGCTGGCATGAGATATTCTAATTTTTTTGTAATTAAAAATGAAGTAGTTTAAAAACAAAATTGCAGAGAAACCTTCTGTGTCTTATTGTGGGACCAAGATACTTAACCAGTGGAGCTGAGCTCTGCGCTGGGTGGAGTCTTTCCACTGCTGTTGGAATTAGTCCCCATACTCCCAAGTGTAGAATATATATTTTATACAATATCTACAGACACCCACAGTGTTCTTCTAAGTTTCTGTGAAGTTTGATGTCCTTCACACCACTGGCCACGTGCTGTATCATGGTGTGGTTAGCAGGGATTTGGGGAGCTTCTGTTGGCCCCCCACAGTGAGGTGACCCTCAGTCAAGAGACCTGCATTTTTGTGGACACTTGGCAAAAGTGGAAATGACTACAGAGGACTTATTCTGTTCCTGTTTCAGGTGTTGTTCTGGGAGGCTGTGGAGACAGATCCATTCGTTTCCGTCCCACGCTGATCTTCAAGGACCACCACGCGCACCTCTTCCTGAACATTTTCAGTGACATCTTAGCAAACTTCAAGTAAAAAGCAGTTCCCTCACACTGAACAGCTGATTATGAAATTAGTTTGCATTAATTCATGTCTTCTCTACTTACAAGATAAGTGTAAAGTCATAAGCCGAGGTTTGTGTTCTGTGTGTGATCCTGCCCAAGGCGAGCTGCTCCATGCGCACGCGCCCCAGGCAGAGCGTTGGCACTGGTCACCAGCAGGTACACGCAGCTGCCCCTCACTGTGCATCCCCTACAACCTGTGGGCCTCCCTCTTCTGGCCTGGGCCATGCCAACTGCAGACTCCTCTCTCCAGCCGTGGCCCTGACTATCCATTCTCTGAACAGGACCCGTTTTCACAGGTGACCCTGATAGATTTCCGTCCAGTAACGGCAACAAGGGTGGCCCCACTTAGGAGCCACGTGCCTGCCATGTGGGAAGTGCCATTCTCTGGTGGCAGCTGGAATAAAATCAAGAGTTTCAAGGAAAGCTCTGCTTTCCGACCACTGCCAAGCACAGTGTTTTACAGAATGATTTCCAGCTCTTTTCCCTCGAGTACAGACATCTGCCCCACGAGGTGGGTCAGGGCACTCCCTGTGCCCAGCCTGCACATGCTGCTTCAGAGGCACCGGTGCCCTCAGCCACACCTGCAGTGCTGCAAGTGGCACTGAAGCACTTGTCCTGTTCTCCTCATCATGGGTGAGTTTTAAAACTTGTGACTTCTCTTACAACTTGTACAGAGAAGGCTCTACCCTGAAGTATGTAATTTGACAAAGCTTAGAGAACCATGCAAAGCACATTACTTCCACTTCTGCCAGCAATTCAGAATGATTCCAGATTATTTTACCATTTGCCCAGAACACACAATAGCCATTAATTTATCTATTACAAGTTCTACATGAATACTTGAGGTATTTTATAAAATTACAGCAGAAATGCTTAATCTTAGCCATTATCTGGTATCAGAGCCACTACAGTGAAGGCCTAGTCCTAACTGCACATTTATAATGCAAAGTAATTCTATTTTTGTTCTAATAATATATTCTAAATCATTGATACTTCAGAGATCTTCTAGAAAGCCACAGGATCAAAAAAAAAAAAGTGTCAACAGTTCATTAATTTGTTTCTCTTCAGAGAATTGTTTTGGATGTCTCTTTACTGTTTGCTTAGGGCTGACTTGAACTAGATCTGGTGCCTTTCTTTTCTTTTTCTTGGAGGAAGCATCTGGATTTTGTTTACTAAGTTTAACTTTCTGTTGTGCACCAAAAAACAGGGACCACAATGGACTTTACAGTTGCCCTATTTAGGACCTGACCACAATTTTTAAGTACATAATAAGAGACAGAGCAGTTAAAAGATTTACATGTTTAATACAGCTACCAAAATGTGAAAGGTTTCTTACCTGCTTTGAGAAGTGTTCATCATGGTTTTCCCACTTTAGAGTATGGTGTTGGGAAACCCAAGTACACTCACTTCTGCCAGCTGAAACCCAGTGGGATTTCTGTAAACCTCTGCAGAAACCAGAATTCTGGCACCACTGGGCAAAACCCGAGCAGGTTTTTGAACAGAGGTTGTAGAAATCTGGGGTAAGGACCAGTAAATTGGTGTTCAACAAAACCTCATTGCCATCGCTGTCCTTGTAAGCATATTATCAGCAAAAGGAAAGTCAAACCAAGAACTGTATTTGACAGCATTTTGGGAATTAGTTTGTTCAACATATCAGTGCAGTAGTTTTAGTGAATGTCTCTAGCAAGTCTTGTACTTTTACAGAAGCAAAGGTCCAGTAATTTGAAGTCTTACCACATCTTCACTTTTATTATGACTACTCTAGGTGTTTTTATAATTTTTACTGACACTCAGTAACTGTATAATTGTGTACAACATGTTGATGAAATCGTTAGAGAATACATAGAAAGCACTGCAGCTGAAGCATATAAAGTTAATATTGTTTACAGCATACTGTGGACAGTGCCAAATAAATGTTTAAACAAATACTTAACTACACTTCATGGTGTAACTAGTAACTGTACACAGATTCATAACAAATTACATCTCATGTGTAATCAATATTCTTAAATAAAATATTTATAATTGAAATTCTGCAGGGCTTTTAATTTTACACCTAGTACATGCCTGAGCTGAACCACTACTGCATATTAAATACATTCTGATGAAGATAAGCCTCCAAAAAACAGTGTATGTGTACAGCCCACTGTATTTTGCTGCCATGGTGTTTACACCAAGAACATTTCTCTTTTCCTTTTGATATTGCTGTGCCACACAGTATCAGCCAAAATTTAAAATCACAGAACCCCATGAGGAAAAGTTCAACATGAATAAATGGTAATTCAGGGTTAGCCTGTGCACTTAAACAGCAGTTTTACTTACCTGCATCTGCTGATCCACCAAGAGACAGAGGTTTCAATTTACATGAGGAAGAGACAGGGAAAAGAACACTCCAGATTATTGGTGAGGGTCAGTTTATTTGCCACTTTCAAATGAAGTAACAGCTAGAAGAGTGCTGTAAGGGGTTAACTTGCTTCTGACAATTCAAAAGATGTGTTATGTGTTACAGGTAATAGGTTTGGTTCTTTCTCAGGTTTAAATTCCTCCCTTCTACTGAGGTTTTGGAAAAGGAGGAGTCATACTAACACCATGGAGTAAGACCATTGTCCTTCATGGATACACATGCTGCTTTTACCATTCCAGTGGGAAGAAATATTTTACTGTGAGGATGGTGAGACACTGGAACAGGGAGGTTGTGGATGGATGCCCCAATCTTAGCAGTGTCCAAGGCCAGGTTGGATATAACCTTGAGGAATGTGGTCTAGTGAGAGGTGTCCCTGACCATGGCAGGGGGCATTGGGGCAAGATGATCCTTAAGCTCCATTTCAACCCCTTACTATTCTACGATTAAATGGGGCAGCAATTTCTGTAGAGGCTCCTGAAATGCTGCCCCAGCCTGTAACTTACCCTTACAGCTGAGCTGCCAGTGCCTCTTGCTGCACACCCCCTTCTTTTGTCCAGTTACATTCACATCCTGGAGGATCTTGCCAGGAGACCCCACATCCACCCTCCACAGCATTACACACCTCCTTCCCAGCTTCATTAGCACATAACTCACATTTCATTAACACATAAGCATGTCTGTGTCTGACATTCACCACCACTCATCATATGTACACACAAGACCAGTTTCAATTTCCAGAGGCTTCCCAACCAACCTGGAATTGGCTAAAAGCAGCACTGATTTGGAGTGAGGGTGCTCTGGCAGCTCCTGTATTTCACTTTAAGAGTCTTTCCTGTTTCACAACACCTGAAGGGGCCAGCTGAGACAGTTGGGGTCAGCACCACTAATGCAGCCCCCTAGTGCATGTTCCAAGGAGGACAGTTCAGACTGGGAACTGCTCTCACAGCACAACACAGACATCACTGAATCCAACGTGGAGAACAGACACTCCTCACACCATAAACAAGCTGCAAAGACATTTAATCCAGTGGATTATTCTTTACTACTGTGACTTTCCCCGCTGGGTGCACTTACAACAGGCTTTGCATAGGAAAAGGACAGGGGTGTCAGTTGGGTAAGCTAATTAAACCTCATGGAACAATAAGCACAATGAACGTGCAACACGGAAAATCACTGGAAATGAGGTGCTGTATCACACAAGTTCTCCAAATATTTGAGTAAACTTCTCTTTGTCTACAATCTGTCCATACTTAACTGTAAAATATAAAGTATCTGTGCTGTTATGCCGTTTGAACTGGAGAAGCAGCTCTCCCTTTCTGTCTCCAACTTCATCCAAAGTCACCACTGTCTCTATGGGACAGTAAATGTCATTCCGTCTTCCCCAGAATGTCAAGTGGGCCACTCTGACAGTTTGGCCAGTTTCACTCAAGTAGATGAATCCAATAATTCTTCTGAAAAAGTAGCTCATACCGTACAACATTGCACCAGCAAAGACTGCAAGGCCAGTTGTGTATAAGAGGATATTCTGAGACACCTGGTTCTGCAGGTAGAGGTACCAGATGGGAGGCAGCGTGACTGTGGTGATGGCAGTCTGCAACAGCTTCAGTCTGGACAGGACCCTGCAGTACTTTATCCCTGGAAACCTGTAGACCAGTTTGAACTCTTCTGTCCTCCCATCCACAGCCTTCTGCTGGACCACAGCAGCAGTGGCCAAATGGGACAGACACATGGACTCTCGCTGTCTCCTGAGATAACTGTTAACACCTCTGACTTGCTGGTTTTGTGTCTGCAAACACTCCCATGTGCCAAAAGTCCAGGGTGGGCGAGCATCTCCCCTTCTCCATGACCTTGTCCAGAGTACCTTCTGCAGACATCTCCCAGAAGCTGGTGCCACGCAGACTTTAGTCCTGACTGTGCAGAGCCAAGCCTGTAAGGAAAGGTTCCCACAAGTCATCATTTGAGCCCTCGTTAGAACTAAACCACAGTGAGCTTAGTCGGTCCCTCAGGCACCTACAGACAGCAAAGCACAAGCCCCTGCTCAGAGTAACCTCAAACCAGTGTTCAGTCAGGAAACGGGTGTTCGTGCTCACATCCCCCCGTGCAAAGCAAGAGGGAAAACACTTTGGATAACACAGTTAACTGAGATAACCAGTCAGCTCAGTGAACGGACCCCAGGGCGTCCCCTGCCTCTCTCGCTGTTTGGTTTTGATGTTCGAGCCACATCAAGGCACTACGGGCCGCGTCAAGGCAAAGAGGGCAGGAGAACGCGGGCTGCCGGCCGGCGACATCGGCGATTTGCTAAATAACCACTTAAATAGCAATTTTAGGGAAACAGGAGAGAAAAAGAAAAAAAAAAGCGGACTAGGCACGGTAAAGGGGAGAGGGGAGAGCGCTCTACACCGAGAGAGGGCCCGGAGAAAGAGGGACCAGACAGCGGGGACGTGCAGGATAAAAGGAAGGATGGGAACCCCGCCGCGGTGTAACACACACGCGAGCGCCAGCGCCCGTGCAGGGACGCGTTGGGAGGGGAAAGGGAAGGGGAATGGGAAGGAAAGGGAAAAGGGAAGAGGGTCCAGCCCGTCCCTGGCAGCCCCCATCCCGTCCCTCACGCCGCCATGTTCGCACCGCCCCTCAGCGCGCTGCGGCCCGGGAGGGAGGGGCGGCCCGCCTGCCCGGCCCCCCATGGCCCGCCGCCGCAGTCGCTCTGTCTGTTCGACGTGGACGCCCTCACGGCCCCAGCGCCCAGGCGAGTGCGACGGTCTGTGGGACGGCGGCTAAGGGCTGTCACCGACGGCTGCGGAGCGCGCGGGAGCGGGGTTGTCCCACAGCAGTGCGAAGCCCTCGGGCAGCGGGCATCGCCACACCCGGTGGTGCGTGCGAACTTGCCGGCGCCCCTTACCGGGGGAAACACAGAATAATCCTCCTTATTCTTAAAGCCAGTCCGCTTTTGAGCGGTGTTGCGAGCAAGCCTGCAGGCCTCCATGCGCAGCAGGGAGTTGACTGACGGGTGTTTTCGGAGCGCAGAGGATCTCCCCGGAGATGGCGGCGTTCCTGCAGCGGCTGCGGCAGAAGGTGAAGGTCGGGGTGGTGGGAGGCTCCGACTTGGCCAAGATCCGCGAGCAGCTGGGCGAGGACGGTAAGGACCGCGCTGATGCAATCCCGAGCTACCCGCAAGGAAGTCGGGAAGGTTAAATGTAGGTTAAACCCTGTTCGTTCTCCTCCTCCCTCGCTTTGAGCTGTTCCTGGTGATGTCGCGTTGCTCTCAGTCTGTGAAGAGCTGTTTCCCGGCACTTAGAAACTGCAGCGTGTTTGAATTTTACAGGTATCTCGGTATCGTATTAAGGGATTGTTACTAACGGTGAACTCCTGGCAGAACTTAGGGAGGGCTTTATCCCGTTGCTGCTTTACAGTGGGGCTGTGTGTGTGACACACACGTGTGGCTGCTCAGCTGTGAGCACATCCCTGGAGGGCCTGACTTTGTTCTCTGCACCATAACCCGCATAACAAACCCCTTTTGTAATGAGGTGCAGCGATGGACTCTCACCCTATCCTACAAGAGGCACTTCCTTTTCTGTGTCTTAATTGATGCCCCTGACAGCCTTCTGTCATGCTCAGATAACTCAGAATTTGTTTGGCTTCCAAGTGGTCTCCACTAAGCCGCATCATTTTGTGTTGTAGTAAGAGTCTCACAACTGCCAGACATCTACTGAAGATTAGTAACACTGAGGAAACAAACGTAAAAGAGCAGTATTTGACCTGCTCTCTCGCCAGGCTGTGTGCCAGGTTTTTGCAATATTTGAGGTGTTCAGTCACTTCCTTACACTTAATGCAAAGAGACATATTTTCAGGAGAGGAAGAGCCTTTGAGCAAAAACACGGGTAACTCAATTGAATGACTTCTTGTGATTTGAGGTGTGCATTAATCTTGGTGAGAAATGGGAGTGGCTTTGATCCTGTGCTTAATGTTATGCTGCTGAATCTTTCATGCTTTGGGATCTAATGTTTGCTGTAACCTGTTTAACGTGTAAGACAAACTGCGTTAAACATACATGGGGAAAAAGTATGTGTCACTGTCTTTCTGTTTGCTTGCAGTGGTTGAAAAATTTGACTATGTGTTTCCAGAAAACGGCCTTGTAGCATACAAGGATGGGAAATTCCTAAGCAAGCAGGTAAGTCTGAAATTTCCAGCAGTGGGAAAGAGAAATTTTCTAAAGATTTTCTAAAGACTTTTCTTTGTTGCTACAGTGTAGTCCTCTGTAATCACCCTTCTAACAAAGGCCAAAACTGCTGCTGTTTTCATGTTACCCCTGTTAATGGATCATTCATTTGGCCTGTAATATCAACATAAGTAATGGAGAGCAAACATTTAAAAAGAGATCCTGGCTGAAATTGCTGCCTTGAGCAGTGGTTCCAATTTACTGCAGGAACAAGCTCCATTTCTTCATACTTGGCTACAGCAGATATTAACTGCAGTTTTTGTTTAAGGCTGCTGCCTCTGGCCCACAGCTTCCTTCTAAAGTAGGTGCAAGAAGGGAGCATATTAAAGGATGCTAACCTTTATATGCTATGGTAATATGCTAAGCATGTTAACCATGGTGTTATGGTTAAAAAATAAAAAAGTAAACAAAAATAAAAATGAGAGCCTTTGGTTAATACTGTGTGTGCATCAGCTGAGAGTTACTGATTGAAGGCATGTTTGTTCCTCTGTGGTATTAACCATGCCTGATTATCCAATGTCTGTGTTTTCCATGTGACTTGCTTTTAGAATCTCAAATTCTGGACCCTTGGTTGAATGGTGTTTATTTTGTTAGAGCATTCAGGGTCACCTGGGCGAGGACATTCTTCAGGATCTAATCAACTACTGCCTGAGTTACATTGCAAAGATTAAACTGCCAAAGAAGAGGTATGTGCACACACACATCTCATGTGGCCATGTTCTCCTTGTTACAGTGTTGGACATCAGGATGTAAAGCTCAGCTCAGGCTGCTGAGCAGAAAAAAAATGACTAATTTGTGGTTTTGGAACACTGTGTATGTGAAACAGCTCAATCCATGCATACAAAGACAAGCTCCCAGCTAGAGCACAGGATTTGAAATATTGATTCAGCATTTTTAAGAGGGAAGGAGACTCTGTTTTGAAGTAGGAGTGTTTCCTTGATGTGTTTGGAATTCAGCAAACAAAAAAAATTTCCAGAGATGAGAGGTGTGCAGCAAGACCAGCTCTGTGTGATACATGAGGTGCAGCTGCTCCAGGCACTAAAATGCACCGTGTGAGGCAGGGCAGGACACTGCCCAGATTGATGTGAATTTTGCAGCTTCACCCCAAAACTGACAGCCTGGTCTGTCAGGCTCTGAGGATTGGGTTGATGGGATGCTCCAGTCACACTTTTAAAACCAAGCTGTACTTTTAACAGTCAGAAAGGATGACGTTGAGATTGCCAGATTGAAATAACAGTCCAAAATACTCCTTGGTGCCAGAGGGATGGTCTTTGGAATTAAATGGCAGTTCATTATGATACTTAGTGTTTTGATCAATTTTTTCATCTATTTTCTGTCTTGTTAATCCCTCCTTTTCCAGAGGCACTTTCATTGAGTTCCGGAACGGGATGTTAAATGTGTCCCCCATTGGAAGGAGCTGCAGCCAGGAAGAGCGACTTGAGTTCTATGAACTCGATAAAGTGAGTTACAGCTCTTGAACAATACCCAGCTCTCCTGGAGGAGGCAGTTACAGCCAGGTTATGATTTTTAAAAAACTTCTATACTTTCTGCAGTTTTTTTTTCATTGTAATCCATGTAGTTTAATGAACTTCTTCATTCAGACCTCAGCAAATAGACAATAGTTTTTTTGTTGCAGTGGTTAACAATGATTTCTTGCAGAAGGGGTGGGTTTGGCTCATGTTTCTTTTAATCCAGAACACCCAACCTCTACACACAGGGTAAAAATGCTGTCCTAGATAAAACCATTCCTTGGTGAGCTCTTTAGTGTATCAATCTGTATCCATTCAACTCAATAAAACTATTCCTTTACTTGTCCTCTGCAGAGCCTTTTAAGGCAGAATTTTAACAATTGAGGTCAAACTGTTCACCATTTATCCTCCTTTGTACACAGCTAAATGTGCAAGGCTGAAATGAATCTGAGCCACGAGAGTTCTGTTTCCTGCTACACCACAACAACTGACCCAATAAAAACCCTGAAACCTAATTCCTCAAAAGCAGACTTTATCTGTGACTCAGTTAATGGATGCTGAGGGATATCTAAGATATCTAAGCATTCTGAAAAAACCCTTCTTGGAGTATATGGCCTCAGAAGTGTAGTATCAGTTTTTTAGACTCTTCCTATGCCTGAGTCTTCCCGTTTGTAAAACTGAATTTTTCTGGGAGTTGAAGCACACTTTTGTAGTGTTCTAAGATTTTTCAGGTGGAAGAGCAAATATCACAGCATGTATGTGAATTTTTGCTCTTTTATATTTTTACAAGTTGGTAACAGATTAAAGTGGGAAGATTCTCAACTTGCTGCCAGTAATAATGTGGCTGTATCACAATCCTGGTACTCAGACCTCTGGGTATTTTTGAGATGTTTTTTGGGGGTTATCTTTTCACTGATGAATTAACACAGCTTGTAACTGATATGTGGTTTTGTTTTGTTTTTTTCTTAACAGAAGGAGCACATAAGAGAGAAATTTGTGGCTGATTTACGAAGAGAATTTGCAGGCAAAGGCCTCACGTTTTCTATAGGTAATACATTAAAAGAATGTAATTTAAAACATCAATTAATTTAAATTTAATTTAAGTCATATTGTCTCGTGGCTGTGACATATCCCATCTCATTTGTGTGATAGTTCTCACTGGGGGTGGTTGCAGGCAAGACTGAGCTTCTTTTTCGTCTTAGGCTTTCACTTGGACATTTTAATTGAGATCCATCAACAAAGAGAACTTCATTGCTTGTCATCAGTTCATTGTCCTTTAATGTCAGTTGTATGACTGATTCTGCTCATTTTGAAACATATTATATGCTTCTATTTAGTCAGAAGTTGTTTCTGTGAATCAGTTCTGATCAGAACTATTCCATCAGTGCTGTTCAGTTGCCCTTGGTTCTTCAGCTCTAACTGCACTGTGTGGGAGGAAGGAAAGAATCCAAAAGCAAGTGCAAGCTTAAAGAGAAAAATTATAATAGAGAGGGAATTAATATTCCATGCATTTCTTCTTTTTTCCCTTCTCCTCTAATATATTACCACATTCCTGCCCTTTGTTATTTTTCAGAAAGTATGGTTGCCATTAGTGCTGTGGCATTGAAGCACTAAGGCAGAAATGGACTGAAATGCAGCTCTCTTGAAGCATGTTTTAAATACCTTTAAGGCACCTGCTTCAACTGGGGATCATTCTTTTAGGTATTGGGGAAGTCCAAGGATTCAGAACTGGAACAGTTGTTGTCCTCTTAGGGTGTGTTAAAAAGGCTGATTTCCTCCTTTTTCTATTCTGAAAGCCTTAGAAAGTCTTTTGCCTTAAGACTTTATGGCTGTAGATAGACTTATGACTGCTTTCATTTGTGTCCATTCTTTCCAAAATTAAAGAGATTAAATGTAATTCTTTTTAAAAGGTTCACTTTTTGGGAACATGCTAAGACTTC